GTTCACATAACCTTTCTACAAACTCCAATTTGAATATAGCTAGTAAAACTGCCTCTGCAAATTGGCTGTATTGTTCTCCACTTCTTGCATGATGCAAAGACAAAGACCTAAAGAACACTAGCTGTATCACTGGATTAACTGGTGTTTGAGAATACTCTAACAGCATATTTAACACTATGTCGTTTCATGCTTAAGTTTGTTGTACATCAAAAAATAAGTCCTGTAGTGTCTCCACTCAAAGCTCATGTGTTAGAACTCTCCGATGATCATCGCTTCCAACGTGTGAACGTTGCTTCGTCTCTTCTGGCGCATAATGCGCGTGAACCATTTTTGGACAGAATTGTCACCGATTATGAAAAATGGATTCTCTATACGAATATTAAATGCCAAAAACAATGGCTTGGTCCTAGACAAAAACCACTTACGAGTCCAAACCTGGACTCCAGCTGCAGAAAGTAATTCTTTGCAATTGGTGGGACATCAAAAGAGTAATTCATTTCGAACTCCTCAATCCACACCGAACTGTCAATGAAGAGATCTATAGTCAGCAACTGGAACGTTTAAAGCAAGCCCTTCATCAGAAACGTCCTTCACTCGTCAATCGGAAAGGTGTTCTTCTTCTCCACGACAACGCAAGTCCACATGTGGCACGTTTGACGCAACACAAGATTATGGAGTTGGGTTGGGAAGTTCTTCCCCCACCCACCATATCCTCTGGATACGGTACCATCAGTCACCATCTTTTTCGTTCGCTGCAACACCATCTGAATGGGAAAACGTATGCAAATGTAGAAGGTGCTAAAGAGGACATCGACATGTTTTTTTTGCTTCAGAGCCAAGTGATTTCTTTAATCAGGGCTTTAACAACCTGATTGTAAGATGTAAAAGCATTATCCACAAGAATGGACACTTATTTCATTTAATAAATGTTTTGATGTACAAGCTGTTAGGGTCTTTTCATCTGAAAAAAAACACATTAATTTCCTGACGACCTAATCCAGAATAATTTGTTTGTAAGTCTAACTTAATTAATGAATCGGTAAAAAATACATATACAATTAGTAAGATATATCGCAATTCGACAATATATATATATATATAGTTTTCGTGCTTGCACAATTTTTATTCTTATCTAACCACATAAAATCAAATATTTGGACACTGAGTTATGCTCTTTCTAAAAGTTTTTATTTTTTAAACTTAAAAATAGATGTCGATACTGTGAGTACCTGCCCACACCTTCGAAGGCTTTATTACTCATCCCTATATATATATATATATATATATATGCACGTGTTAGCAGCAGAACAACTATACCACACCCCTTCTTCAAACATTTGAATTAGTCATCCATGGTTTTACACTTTCTAACAGAATTCCACAAAACATTGAATTTGTAAACAAAAGAGCAAACCTATTAGAAACTCAAAAATAATGTTGAAACAGCTTATTGCACATGCATTTTCTCTAAAATTTTAATATTAGCATAAAACAACATACTTTAAAAATTGGCTTTTAAAAATCATTTTGATACTACAGCGTTACAAAAAGATTATGATTTAAAATTTAGCACTAAAAAATGGTTTTTATTTATTTTAACAACACATGAAGCATACAAAAATTAATGTGCATCCACAAGAATCATTCTTAGTATGCCTTACACCTGTAAATATAACGGACAGACATCCGTTTTCCCAAATGCCATTATTATGCACGTATAACATGTTAAAATTAGACTAAATATTTATTTCTGGTATTTCAAGCCACAGTATCAGACTAGGAAGTATCAAAATCATATTGAAACGGTGTTTAGTAAACTTCCTGGATAAAAAAAATGCTAAAAACTTAATGTGAGAAAAATATTCGTCAGCTACATGCAACCTCGACAAAAAGACATCCATTTTTTCGAAATTGTATTGTTACGACAGCGGAAGTCACGTGACTATAGTAACATGTCATGAGATTCTAGAAGGATCGGGGAACATCACGTTCCCCGAATAATCCAGTATTTGCTAGGCGCCCTCTATTCTTGTATATAAATGCGCCGGATAAAGCGAAATTATGAATCGGAATTGAATTGCTGACAGATAGAGAGGGACAATTGAGTCAAGCGCGGTAGTAACTAAAGTGCGTGAATCATTCGTTGTGAATTATAGCGTGGGTTGAAGTTCAAGGGACTGTGGAAATTAAGTGTATTGCAAAGTTGTATTGAGAAAGAATAAACTAGTTTTATTTAACAAAGGACTTGTATCGCTGAAGTTTCTGGGAAAGAATTTTTACGAGTAATTAACAAACTGGTGTCAAAAGCGGGATAAAAATAAATAAATAAAATGGAAACGAGAGGTGCCAAATCAAACTACAGCTTAGCAGATTTGATGGCAGCAATACAAGAACAGCAAAATAAACAAGAAGAGAGATTACAGCAGTTGTTGGAGGAAAAAGAAAAGAAACAAGAAGAGAGATTACAGCAGTGGCACGATAACTTGCAACAGTAGCAGCTCGAACAGAAAAATAAACAAGAGAGATTACAGCAGTTGTTGGAGGATTTGTTTGTTTGTTTGTTTTTGAATTTCGTGCAAAGCTACACGAGGGCTATCTGCACTAGCCGTCCCTAATTTAGCAGTGTAAGACTAGAGGGAAGACAACTAATCATCACCACCCACCGCCAACTCTTAGCCTACTCTTTGACCAACGAATAGTGGGATTGACCGTCACATTATAACGCCCCCACGGCTGAAAGGGCAAGCATGTTTGGTGTGACGGGGATTCGAACCCGTGACCCGCAGACTGCGAGTTGAGCGCCCTAACCACCTGGCCATGCCGAGCCAATTGTTGGAGGAAAAAAGAAAATAAACAAGAAGAGACACTATGGCAGTGATTGGAGGAGAAAGAAAATGAACAAGAAGAGAGACTACAGCAGTAGATGGAGGGGAAAGAATATAAACAAGAAAAAAATATCCAACAATTGAGAGAAAGCCAGAGCAC